CCCTTCCTTCCCTCTTCTTTCCCTTCCTTTCCTTTCCTCTTCCCTTTTCCTTCCTCTTTTCCTTTCCTTTCCTCTATCTCCCTTCCCTTCCTTTTCTTCTATCTTCCTTTCCTTTCCCTCCCCTCCTCTCCCTTCGACAATAGTGGCAAGAAAGTTTTTAAAAAATCATGCCTGTCTTGCTCAAATAACTCCCTTGCTTAGGAATGGTAATTCTTATCCAATTGTGGCATAAGTCAAGGACTACCTGTAAGACAGAGCTGTCTTCTTCGTGGTTATGTTCCTGGCTTGGTCTACCTCGCAAGGCTGGTGTTGGCTGTACCAAAGCTAGGACTTGATCTAATCCCTGCCCAGGTGGATCTGGTGGTGTGAAGTTCTCCCTTGTGGGGAGAAAATGGGGGAGGCACGTGTCTCTCTCACCTCCAATCCTGCATCTCTCTCAGCGACCAGCTTTTGAACTCGGGACCCCAGATCCCACAGGAGCTGTTGCATGCTGGGTGGGTCCATCTCACTCCACTGCAGCCCCAGGACATTTTCCGGTTCCTGGCTGACCTGAAAGAAAAAGCGAGTAGTTTTTACTCCTCAGAAACCACTTATTTGCTGTTCGTTTTATTTATTTATTTTATTTTTTTATTTTAATTTGTCAATTGCTTACAATATAATAGGTATAAGTAAAAACATAGTTATGAATACATGGGTACATATAAGAAAAATAAAAAGAGACAATAGGACAAGGACGGTATAAGTATAAACATAGTTATGAATACATGGATGCGTATAAGAAAAATAAAAGAAACAATAGGACAGGGACAGGAGGCACATTGGTGCGCTTATGCACGCCCCCTACAGACCTCTTAGGAAAGGGGTGAGGTCAATAGTAGACAGTCTAAGGTTAAATTTTGGGGGGTTTGAAGTTTGTTAATGTTAAGGGATGCAATGGTTCAGTGGCTAAGATGCTGAGCTTGTCAATCATGAAGGACGGCAGTTCGGCGGTTCGAATCCCCAGCTACTACTAAGATAAAGATCCTCTGGCACATCCGTGCTAGTCATTCCCGGCTCCAGGGGGCGGTGCTCATCTCAGTTTCCAACCAGAAGAGTCAGCGCTGTCCGAAGACGTCTCCATGGTCACGTGGCCGGCAGGACTAAACGCCGAAGGCGCACAGAATGTGGTGACCTTCCCCACCAAAATGGTCCCTATTTTTCTACTTGCATTTTTTTTTAACGTGTTTTCGAACTGCTCAGTTTGCAGGAGCTGGGATAAGTAATGGGAGTAAACATTTAGGAGTAGCCAAAACTTTTCACTTCTCGCTTCGGAGATGGAAATATTTACATTTCTTAATTGTCTCGTTGTTTACCTCTTTGATAGCAGAAGCCAAAGCAGCTTGGACACCAATGTCCAGCGACTGGATGCGGCCAATGAACACGTCTCGCTGTTCACACTGTTGGAAGTCCAAAGGGAAAAGTCAATATCTCTCTCTTTTTAACAAAAAAAAATATTAACCACGAATCTACTGATCTAGAAGCAAAATGCATGAAGAACCTTATTTAATAAATTATCTAGGAATCGGGACTTGGGTAGGAGAAAGTGCTTATGTTTTATTGCAGGGAAGTAAGTTTAGAACAAGTCTAGCCCAAATTGTCTGTTGTGAAATATAATATTACTGGTTGATTTCTTTTCCTTTCAGTGATTTTTCTTTTTTCTTTTTAAAATTTTATTGGTTTTTAAAAACAAACAGAAACAAACAAAACATAAAAACATCAAGCTATTTTCCATAGGTGTACATACAGTGTGCCGGTTGGTTTACAAATTGTTTTGTGCTTCCATTTCGTATTCTTCAATTACAATTACATTGCAGATAATCTCATATTTTCAATCAAAACTTTTAATACCTTATTATTAATCAATCATTTGACTATACTTTTATTCATTCATGTTTTACAAGATAATCATAATTTACTTAGATTATTTCATATTATCATCCCAAATCTATCCTAAAATCATTTTGTAGATATAATAAGAAAGAAGTACATCTTTATATATATATTATTTATTATTTTAAGGTGGATTTGCTTAATGACTGATGATTCACTTAACAACTGCAGTGAGCCACTTAACAACCAGGGCAAAAAAGAAAAAGATTGCAAAACCAGGAGCGACTCAGCCACAGCAGTGTGAGGAGGAGGAGGAGAAGAAGGAGAAGAAGAGGAGGAGGAGGAGGAAGAGAAGAAGAAGAGGAGGAGGAGAAAAAGGAAGAAGAGGAGCAAGAGGAGGAGGAAGAGGCCAATGAGGAGGAGGAAGGAGGAGGAGGAGGAGGAGGAGGAGGAGAAGAAGAAGAAGAAGAAGAAGAAGAAGAAGAAGAAGAAGAAGAAGAAGAAGAAGAAGAAGAAGAAGAAGAAGAAGA